CGCTACCTACTCGCATGTCTTTGCCATATAATTATGATGAAATATTTGATTCAAATTCAAAAAAGGGCACGTTGGGCATCATTATAATTTACATAGGAAAACTTTGATATTAAAAATCTAGGCAATATATAAACATATTTTTTAGAATAAAATATGCTGAGTTGACATAGAATAAAATTTCTTCCATAGTTATATTTTATTTATCTACATAAGGTAAGGTTTATTTTTAAGACTTTAAATTTTATTATTTTAATATAAATTGAAATTGTCGTTTTGCGATAATTTTATCTTCAAGGTTAAGACTAAGACTATTGGATAGCCTAATCATTATGCTATAAAATTTAAAAAACCGAACATATTATCTTTTATAGTATTGGCGCTATTAAGGTATAGGTAAAATCAGTTTATTTTACTATTTACCGATGATCCTGGGTGTGATGGCAGACCATGGGGTAAGATGACAAATATAAAATTGAACCCAAATCATAAAATTTTTAATTTTTATTCTTATGATGAACTCTTATTATTTACAAATGATAAATATTTTTTAAAAAAATAATCGTCACAAAATGGGCACACATAAAATGGATCATTCCTATTGAATGTGCCATTTGGGACATTTGTTACACTTTATCCAGTCTTCGCATTTTTTACTTTGGTTATAATTGATGCACATTAACAATAATTTTTTTTAAATTTCTAATTTTTATCGTTTTTAGAAACTCCTTTCTATGCAATCTAATTCCCTTTTAATTGCAATTTAGCCTTTCGCTGTTTAGATAGGGGTATCAATTTAACTTAAATAGCTCTAGAAAAATTTCTGGGTGAGCTAAAACTCCGAGCAAAGTTTGATCAATAGCCAAAACATTGTAAAATTAATCAATAGCCAAAACAATGTGAATTGTCTCTCATATAAATATAAAATTAAAAGTAATACTTTTGCCTCAAAGGAAAAAAAACACTTTTAAAAATTGGTGAAAATGGACTAAAAAATTATTCCTGACAGATAACTTCTGAATACGGAGCTCCCGCTACTAAATGAACATAGTATAAATAGTGTGTTCATGGAAATATATCTTTGACAAAACTTAAAACAATTAGCCGATGAAAAGGCAATAGACGTTTGCCTTCTTTTTCGGATAGCCCTGTTCTCCCCCACCCCGGTTTCCTCTATTGCTATATATTATTATAATCTATAGAATAATTATTACAAGTTTAAGAATTTAAAAATAAATACTTTTGGCTCAAGACAAAAATTTAAGAAATCGCACTATAAATATTATTTTTCCTCGGGCTCCCCATCTTACAAAGAAAATCAGATTTGCGTATTGTATAAAAATACACATGACCAAATTTTAGGTATCTAACTCCTTAAAATAAATAGAAATTATAAATTGTAGTTTTTCTCTGCTTGCAGGAATGCTCCGTTCACTCCTATCAGCATCGGTTTCATACCATATCAAATCAATATATCAAATTTTAAAAGAAAGAAATCACATTCTTTTAATGGTCATTTTATGCTGTCTCTTAGTTAATTTTTTATAAAACTAAATCACAATGTATATCGTCATTAAACATTACACTGATATCGTTTTATCTCATATTTTAAGACAAACTATCTTAAAGCCTAAATATTAATTAGTGCAAATGATAAAAATTAAATAAAAGTATCTCCTAAATAAAATTCGAATAAATATATTGAAATAACATTTTTAATATATCCTATTGATGATCTATTAAAATGATAGGCCATATTATTCAGATTGTAAATAATATAAGTGACAAGCAGGTATTAAGAATTATTCAAATTGATTAGTTTTATATTTATGATGTTTAATACAATTTGACTTCCAATAATAATTTTTATTTTATTTTATTGATGAACTATTTTATTACCAAGTATTAATATAATATAAAAATTATAGATAATATAATATAATATTTATATATTTAAAACTTTACAAAAATTATTAAATAATTTTATTATTAAGAAATAATTTTTTATTTTTATATTATATATGGTCCCGCATTAACCAAATATTGATTATATTTAAGTTTTATATCCCTAGAGAGGGAAGTGTGCTTCCTAAATTTAATCCGAGTACTCCATTTCATAATTATTTTTTCCTTGTTTTTTTGACAGTAACTCACATTATGAGAGCCCCACAAAATATGTAAACAATATTTTTTATGTTATCCCGTTTCAACTCTAAAATCATGACAAGAATATTTTTAAAATGTCAATACTCCTATTTTGACTATTAGGAGCAAAGTAAAAAAAATGTTCGTAAGAGGATTGAATTTGTTCTAAAGAAGAATAAAAATAGGGGTATTGATATTTTTTAATATTTTTTTTATCTAATATGTTCGAATTAAAACGGATAAATGTAAAAAAGATTGCTTTTATATTTTAGATTCTTATAATATGAGATTTTGTTCTTAAACAATTAAAAAAACCTTGTGTTTAATCAGAACTCTTTTTGGATCGCGTCAAAACCAAAGAGATTTATCTTTTCTTTTTATCAAACCTATTGATGAAAACTAGCCACATGATAGGTTTTCAGCTATTTATGTAGTTAAGTTTAAGAAGATTGATAATTGTTAAATTATAATATATCAAATTGTATTTGCATGTAATTTTTTAGAGAAAGGTTTTGACTCAGAACTTCTACGCCGGTGGTGAGGAGGGAAGCATCACAAAATCGTCTTGAAATTGGAGATAATTAAGATGATATAATCGTCATTTGAATAAAATTTTACTAATTTTGATTAAAATTTTTTTTTACTTGTCAATTTAGACTCCCTATTCGAGTGAGATATGGGCAAAATTTTTGAGGGGGTAATATAGTTATTGGCTTATGAAGGTGTAATCTCTGGTTTTAACGATAAATTACAAATTTTATTGGATAAGTAACATTTTTTTATATTAAATTTAATGTATAAAATGATTGATTATAATAAATGCAGGACATCGACAATTCTAAGATGTGGCTGTATATATAAATGCAAAAATAAATTAAATAACATTTATTTAAATAATATAATCAAAATTATTTAATGCATGTCATTCACAGGTGTAAAATAATAATTATAAAATAATTCGAATAGAAATATTAAAAATATTTATGAATGACAGAACGTCAATACTTTTATTTATTTCTACATTTCTTTAACTTTTGTAAATATTATTATATTATAAATAAAATAATAATAATTTAAAATTATTATAAAAATTTTTAAGATATGAAGGCGGATATGTTTATGTTGGTAAAATATTAGGCCTTCAAAAGAAATATTTGTAAATTGAAAAATAGTTAGCCAGGGTGTTGTGTTGAACTGTTTTGTATTTGGTACAGGAACAAAAATAATCAGTTTACATTGTGATGATAGGATAAGTTTTTGTATACACTATGTATATATATTTCTTTTTTATACATCTGTTTCATTGAGAATTCTAAAAGAATTTATTTTCTTGTCAGTTAACTTTTCGTAGATGGATTCTAATCCTTAAATATATTATTTTTCAGTTAAAATATATAACTATATATATATATAATCATACAAATCACTCTAACCTAATAGATAAAATGAACATTTTGTGTAAATCTAACCCTTCAAAATCATTACAGCTTCATTTTATTAAGATGACGTTTAAATTTTGTAAATACCGAATAAATAAAATTTTATATATAATAGAATATTTTCTCGTCTAAAAGCGTAAATATTCACTAAATAATGAAAAAAATAATCTCTTCTTTTAAATTTTTCTTAATACTTTGTTACTATATAAATAAGTATTTATTTAAATTCTTTATATTATTTTCATTTTATTTTAAGTGAAATATTTTGGTTTATAATAATAATAATTTTTTTAAATGTCCTATTGTTTTTTTAAAAATTTTTTGGAAAAAATTATAACAAAAAATATAAGGAATCTTTTAAAAATAATAATAACAAATAATTGACATAAAATATCTGAATTAATTATAATACTCCTTTATTTTTATTGCGATTCGTTTTTTAAACGAATAGATTAATGAATACTTTTTATTTATATATCATGAAAATTATTAAATAATTTGGTTAATTTTTTCATATAATTATATTCGCACATTAAAATTTAGCTCTAAAAAATATTGAAGCAAAAAAATTAAAATATTAATTAATAAATAATAAAAGAATAAAAATTTGATAATTTTGTAAAAAAAATTGCATGTCTTTTGGAATTAAATTATGTTCTTTTACCAAAGATCGGAAAAAAATTTGAATAAATTTAAATCTGAATGATTTATACATAAAAGAACCTGATATCAAAAAGAACAACAAAATGCTATAAAAATAAGGTATTTATTTATTTATTTTATATAATATTTAATATAATTAATGCATATTCAAATTTATTCAAATTTTATTCAAATATTTATTTTTTGCTTTTATGGAATTAATTTTTATTTTTAAATTTATTATATTTATTATGATTTTTTAAAGTAATCAAAATTAATATTAATATAATATTTGAAGTTAATAATTATATTATAATATATTTTTTAAATAAAACAAATATTAGAATATATTTAAAATTTTAAACTAAAAATAAAAATACATTTATTGCAGAGAACTATGTTCAAAATATATTACAGTATGAGTAGGATAAAAATACGAAATGATATTTCATTAGCATATAGTAGTATTTATTTATTTTTAAGAAAATTTTAAATCTATTTGCATAAATTTAAATATATTAAGAAATAAAAATTATTTTTTTATATTTTTGTTGCTATTATAAATATATATTACTAAAAAAAAATGTACATTTATTTTAAAATAAATTTATTTTTATTTGGAAATCATATTTTCTAAATTTTTATTATTTCAAAAATATAGAAGAATTTATAAAAATAAATGTTGCGTTTAAAGTCTTTAGTTTTTATCAAATATCGAAATTTCGTTTTAAATATGACTAAGGGAAATAAATACAATTCCTCAAACAAAGTTTTCCGAATTTCACTATTAATATTACTAATGGTTTGTGAAACCGATTTTTCTTATTTGGATATAGGAATAACATAACATTATGTATATTATTTATATGTAAATAAATTTCTGCGAAATCAAGAATAGACAGGTAATATATAAATGATATACATAACTAATCCTGAATTCACAGTTAGCGCTATTTTTCGCGTTAACTGTGAATTCAGGGTAAAACTGTAAAATATAATAAATTTTTTATATTAAAATAATAGTCAAAATAACTTTTATTTATTTCTTTTCAATTTTATATACATATTATATATGTTGTTTGTGAGTTTTTCTGTAAAAAAAACTTATCCGAAATATTAAAGAAGGACGAACTCTCTAAATTTTAAATTATGTTCGATAGTAATCTTTTTAAATTTGAAAAATTAGATTTGACCTAAATGTATTCCTGCAGGTATAGATTAAGAGTGCCTATCCTATGAACTTCAGACAATTTTTATATGAATTTTTTTTATATGTAACTAAGTAGTTCAAAAATCCACTCTAAAACTTATTAAATTCATAAGGTAGGTATACTCTAAATATGAGAGAATACATTTCCAGCAATATCAGATTTAAAATTTAAGAAAATATCCTTGTAAATGTTTTTAAAGAAAATTAGGAGATTCCAAATTCTCACCTATTTCAAATAAACTTACGACATAATATTAGTAGATCGGAGCTAGGCAAACCAATTTTTAAAAATGGCATATAATTTCCAAATTTTTTTAAATATCATTTTTGTAAAAGTGTTGATTTTGTTCCTTAAGCCACAGTCTTAAGGATTGTATAATCACTAAGGAGCTTCCTAACCCATTGCGTTTTCTCATTGGCATAACCTAAAGATGGGAAAGTAAAAAATTTCCCCATCCAAAAATTGTTTACAATATATCACTATAAACAATAATTTGAAAATAAAAATAAATATAGTATAGTAATTTTTTTAAAAAAATTTAAAAAAAGAATTTTCATAATAAAAAAATGAAAACCCAAAATTATTTTTATAAAAAATATAACTTAGCCAAAGGTCCTAGATAAGTGGACCTAAAGACCTCCAATAAAATTTATTGTGAAAAACCCTGCCTAATCCCCACTCTTTAGGAAAATCCTGGATATGCCTATTGGTGTTCTACCTTATAATGAACAGAAATGCCATTTTTATTTCTGAAAATTGTATAAAGTAAATTTAATATTTTTTAAATGATAACTGCACAATAATTTTTAGATAAAATATTTATATAAATCAAAACATAAAATTTATAAATTTTAGGAAGATCCTTTTGCAATTTTTTTAAAATAATATCTCATGAAATATGCTGTAAGTATAATTCACAAAATAACCAAAAATTAAATATATATTTTCGAGTTTATTAAGAATTTATGATTAAAGCCTTGTTTAACAAGCCCCACTAGCGTTATTTTAACTAATCATGACTAAAATATAAGAATAATATCTATACACTATAAAAGAATGTAAACCTTTCTCAAATTATAAAAGAGGGTTAAATGTAGAAATATAACTTAAATTATATATTTTTTATAAATTTAATATAAATTATAATCTTGTCTTGAAAAAATTTCACAAATTTGACATCAAAATTTTTATCTTATATAATAATTTTAATAGTTATTTCAAAATATTTTTTATATATGGATCAGCATTCTAAAGTTATTAGGACAAAATTTAATCTTAGAGTCTTAAATTAAAAAATGGGATCAAATTGTTTGACTAGCCCCATTATTCAACTAGCCCCGGCCGCAATAATAAATATTTTTAAATAATAGGATACTTTAGAATCAGATAGTAAATTTATTAAACCAGATGCTAACTCTATAAATTCTCTAATCATCATAATCGTGAATTTAAAGATATTTTTAATAAGAGAGAAAATTAATCTTATTAATAGATTTTATAAAGGTTTTAATTTATTAAATCGCGTCACATTGTTAGTATAAATATATAGCTTGCAGGCACGTGTGCAGTGGAGGAAGATCAGCGGTCAGTCCTCCTCCCAAAAAATAAATATTTTAGATGTCGGCTAAAATATTTTTCAAAAATATTACTATGATTATTAATTTATATTTTATAATAATCATCCTACCTCTTATCGTATATATATATATATTCTAATTAACATCTATTTATCACATTCACAGCAGAAATAAATACGCTACTAATTTATTCTATGAATAAATATTGATTTCAAATTTTCTTTGGCGTTGTATATCTTCCAATTTAAAATTTCGCACAAATTATTTGTTTGAAACTTTTTAACTGTTGAACTAAATTAAAATATTTCCAAAAAATGACATCGATTTGATTGAGAAATATCTGAGAGCATTATATTGGAACTTAATGAATTAAAATAAATTATATGTCAACGTTGACTCAGAAGCAGCTCTCTATGAATTTATTTCTTGCCTACCTCGACTAATACTAAAAAATAAATCACTTTGCCCAATTTCTTTGTCCACCATCTACAATAGTGAGACTGAGGTTAATCGAACCGATTTTTACAAAATTGACTATAGCTCCTGGGTTTTTTTAGATAATATAAAAAATAATATATGATCTCTATAAAGGTGCCTTATAAAAAATTTTAAGAATATAATCTTTTTTTAAAATTTTATTTTTTGTAAAAGTGAAAGGATGTAAACTAATAAAAACTATGTTAGGATAAAATTTTAATCTTCTGGTGTATTTAATCTTAAAATGCGATTAAGTGATTTGCCAAGCCCCGAATTTATCTATCCCAAGTCTCCCTTACATAAGACAGGTATTCTAAACATAATGGTATATTTTCAGTAAAATCAGATTTTTAAGTTTAAAAAAACGCGCTCAAAAAATGATTTAAAATTAAAAAAACCACACATTGCTGGTAACATAATAAATACAATAATTTTTAAGAATATTTTTGCATTAATCTATATTTCCCACATTTATTTTTAAAATAATTTAATTTATATATCAAATTTTAAATGTACAAAATTCCTTTTTTAGAGGCATTTATTTTAAGTATTTCATTTATATACATTTAATATTTTATCATTGATTTATATTTGAATTTGTGTATTAGGAATCTAATATTAAGATATTCTTAAATAACTCTTGAAATAATTCTAAATCACAGCGAGTTCCTGCGTATGCGACTGATAGCTTATGAGCCTATTCATAAGTGAATCGCTACTGCGTAATTTGTTAATTTTGTATATATCTCATCAGTGGAGAGCGATTTAGCGATATGAGGCTAACTATACATACAGCATTATTGTAATTATATATATTATTCAAAGTTTGTCAAACTGATATTCATTTTTTATTTTAAATAAGAGTTTATATTTTAATATTAAATCTAGACTTTGACACTAATTATAATAATTTTACAAAATTAGATATAATTTTTTCTACCTTTGAATTTTCAAAATAATATCGTGCAGATTTGTAGTCTCTTACTCTTAAATAATTAACGAAGGCTATTTTTAAATTTGAAAAATCTGATTTTACCATTCTAGCACGTGTAGTGTGCCTGCCCTTTGAATTTCAAACAATTTTTGACTTGACCTCTTGAACTACTTTTATTTATATATAATTTATTTTTTTATGTAAATTAAAAAATGCATAACATTTCATGACGAAATTGTTTGAAATTTATAGGGTAAGTGTACTCTACACATACTAAAATACATTTCGGGTAGAATCAGATTTTCCTATTAAAAATTACTGTGGTAAATTATGAGAAATTCCGAGTGTTTTTCCAGAAAAACTTACGAAATCTAACTGAAATATATTATATATATTTCGTGATATGGACAGGTTTGCTTAATATAAACATTAAAAATAATATCAGCTTAGTGAATATTAAAAATTTGGTTTTTTGTTAAAATGATCTTCAATCCGCTTATCCCTCTCTCTATCCTAGACGATATTTTATATTCATTTTATTTTTGTCATAGCCCCGGTTTAAAAAATAATAATTTTAAGATCCTGACTAGGATGAACCAACCGCCACTAAATATATCTAATAATAATTGTCCCATATAATTTAGCTGTAAAAAATAGTGAGATTGGGATAAAAAATGTTAGATAGGAATTGAATTTAGGGATGTTAATTACTATATTTGGGTAATTACTATATTTTTAGCCATTTAAGCCAATTTTTAGCCTCTTAAAAAATCGACTGACCCAAGTTTTTAGCCGAAAATTATCACTTTGGCCGCAGGATTTTTCTTAAAGAGATAGCAGCTCACATTTTGAAGAAACTAATATAAATTAAAACGCCTTAAGGTTAACGGATTCTCCGGAAGGTGCCTGAAGCTTGATCAGAATCCGCCGATATTTATTCATTACCAAACTATTAATTACCCCCTCCCTTCTTAGTCTCTTAAATAATAATCAAGAAGATTTCATTATTAAGCTTCAATCTAAAAAAAGGTTTATTATAAGGAAAAATGAAGTATATATTGATGTGGAAGGGAAATCTTATAATATAATCGATTTTAATGAAGTAAAAATTGAGATATATTCTTATTGAGTTTTGAGCTTATATTTTTGAAAAAAATTTCAATTTTAATTCTTTAAATGGTTGTATATAATTTAGGAATTATATCCTCCTGAGATCGGAAATTTAATAACTATATTTTTTGAAATCAAAGTCAAAGGTCAATAATATATTTGATTTTGTTTAAAATATAAATTAATTTATAAAATCATAGAATTTTTTTGATAAATTTAAAACTACTGTAAAACTGACGATTTAGATTCTTTTTAACTTTACATTTCTGGCAAAAATTACATTTGAAATTTTTTATTCCAACTTTCTGACTCCTGTCTAAATATTTATCACTAAGGCATAATTTGGTTTCCATCATATATTCATATATATATAATAAATTTATAGAAATATTATATAAATTTTCATAGAGATTACTAGGACATGGTCCTAATTGCTAAGCATTAGCAATATTTGAAAAAATCATAAAACGCTAATACGCTCGATCGCGTATAGGCTATTAGGCCCTATCCTTTGACTCCCCCTTATACCTACAAAAATACGAATCGAATAATGGAATTATTCGTATTCGTTTATATCATAATTTATTATTCGT